GGTCAGATTTCCTGACACACAGTACTGAAACTAACCCAAGAAGATGTAAATATGCTTAACAACCCAATAACAAGCAATGAAATTGTCACAGTAATAAAGAATCTACCAACTAAAAAAAGCCTAGGACCTGATGGATTCAGGCTGAATTCTACAAAACCTTTAAGGATGCTATATCACCAATACTCCTCAAGATTTTCAAAGAAATTGAAAGAGATGGAACACTCCCAAATTCCTTCATAGAAACCAGTACTATCCTGATCCCAAAACTAGATAAAGATCCAACTGAAAAAGAAAACTATAAGCCCATCTCCTTAATGAATATAGATACAAAAATCCTCAACAAGGTATTAGCAAATAGAATACAGCACATTATCACAAAGATCATTTTTTTTCGCAGGGGAATTAGCTCAGTGGCACCATGTCTGCCTTGCAAGCGCAAGGTCCTGAGTTTGATTCCTAGTACCAAAGAAAAAAAATCATACATCATGATCAAGTAGGTTTCATCCCAGAGATCCAAGGATGGTTCAACATCCTTAAGTAAATAAATGCAATACATCACATTAAGAGAAGCAAGGTGAAAACCACATGATCGTGTCAATAGATGCAAAAAAGGCTTTCAACAAAATCCAATGCCAGGTTATGATTAAAAACCCTGAAGAAAACAGGTATAGAAAGATCATACTTGAATATGATAAAACCTATTTGTGACAAATCAATAGCCAGCATCATACTAAATGGAGAAAAACTAAAGGCATTCCCCCTAAAAGTAGAAATGAGAAAGATGTCCACTATCACCTCTTCTATTCAAAATAGTACCTAAAACATTAGCCAGAGCAATTAAGCAAGAGAAAGAAATAAAAGGGATATGTATAGGAAAGGAAGAAGTCAACTTATCATCATTTGCAGATAACATGATCTTTTACAAAGAAGGCCCAAAATATTCTACCAAGAGACTCCTAGAATTAATAACCTAATTCAGGGCCGGGGATTTAGCTCAGTGGTTTTGCTGCCTGCTGCACAAGCACAAGGACCCGAGTTCGATCCCTGGTACCAAAAAACAAAACAAAACAAACAAATAACCTAATTCAGCAATGTAGCAGGATACAAAATCAACAGAAAAAATCAATAGTGTTCTGGTACACCAATAATGAACTCACTGAGAAAGAAATAAAGAAAACAATACCATTTACAACAGCATTAAGAAAATTAAATACCTATGAATTAGCCTAACCAAGGAAGTAAAACGACAAAAACTAAAGTACTCCTAAAAAGGAGATCAAACAGGACATCAGAAAATGGAAAGATATCCTCTGTTCCTGGATAGGCAGAACCAATACTGCCCAAATAGCCATACCTTCTAAACTAATATACTGATTGAACACAATGCTGGCAAGGTTGCAGGAAAAAGAAACACTTCTACATTGTTGATGTAAATGTAAGGTAGTACAACCAGTATGGAAATCAGTATGGAGATTCCTCAAAAAACTAAAACTAGAAATTCCATTTGACCCAGCTGTTTCCTTCTACGAATCTTCCCAAAAGAGTTAAAGATATCATATTCAGTGACACATGGATGTCCACATTTATAGCAGCACAACTCATAATAACTAAATATTCAAAGTGGCCTATATGCCCATCATTGAATGAATGGATAAAGAAAATGTGGTATTTATATATAACAGAGTACTACTCTGCCATAATGAAGGATTAATTTGAGTTATTTGCAGGAAAATGGATGCGCCTTGAGACCATAATGTTATGTGAAATAAATTAGACACACAAGCTAAAATAGCTCAGGATTTTTCTCACATGAGAAACTCAAAGTATAAATAAATTAATAAGAAAAATAAAAAAATAGATAATAGGAAACAGAGAGATAGAATTTTTTCGGGGGGTACAGGGGGAATCAAACACTGGACTTTGTGCTTGCGAGGCAGGTGGCGGAACCACTGAGCTAAATCCCCAGCCCGAGAGATAGAACTTTTGCAAGAGGGAGGGGGGCCAAGAGATGGAGGAAGGAGCAAGTGAGGGCAGGGATACCAATATCAAAATACCCAGCTCTGGGCTGGAGACTTAGCTCAGTGACTCTATACTTATCTTATAAGCGCAAGGTCCTGAGTTCGATCCCTAGTACCGGGGAAAAAAAATACCCAGTCCTTATGCCCAGTGAACTTATGTAAATTGAAGACAATTGAAAACTACTAAATAATAAGTGTGATGACACAGTCATGCACTGTATCCATATACATGTGTGTATGTGTATATATGTGAGTATTAAGGTCAAAGAAGCATATACCTAAATGTGCAGTGGTTAAGTCTACAGCTCAGTTAGACATTGGTTTGAGACCTGAATTTGCCATTTGTTATGTTAGTTGTATAATCTTGGGCAAATTATTCAAACTATTTTAAGAGTCAATCACGGGCCAGGAATTTAGCTCAGTGGTGCTGTTGCCTGCCTCACAAGCACAAGGTCTTGAGTTTGATCCCTGGTACAGTCAATCACTGTACATTATTTCATGCTTACTACAGAAGAACAGAATACTACTAATGTTTATTGGAGACTGAGTCACATAATACAGACTCTATTTTACTGGTTACTAAAAGAATGCTTGGTTAAATGCTTTAATAAGATTATCATAATTAGGGCCAGGGATTTAGCTCAGTGGTTCCACTGCCTGCCTCGATAGTGCAAGGTGCCAAATTCGATCCTACACCTGGAGTACATTATAAAATCAATATGTAAACTGCACTGACACTATTTTAAGGGAAAAACATGCCTTCAGGGGTTGGAAAGTGCAGTTTGATATCCTAACTTAGTTGGCTGCAGATCCACAGAATATTGATTAGCCGTACTGCCCCAAACAGACTACAGACAGCTAGGAGATGAGCAAATAAAAGGTAAACATTTAAGACTGGACCTTTCACAAAATTAGCAAGTCTCCATCAACTCAAGGTTGAAAGATGAGAATATATTTATTTTATTTGCTGTTATCCAAAATGTGAAACACCAAAGAGATCAAAGTGCACATCAAGTCTACTATTAACTGTTGATGTTGGAAATACTAGCCAGTTAGGTAGACTCAGGGGACTCAAGTTGAAATGACTATTATCTCAAGAGTGTATTTTTACAAAACCTATCAATGGACTACTCAGTTTCAATCAAATAATTGAACTAATGGGTATTTTTTTGCCATATCTGACCACAATTATCTCTTTGAGCCATAAAATATGAATCTGAGCAGAGGCTAAGAATGTGTTCTCTACCCCACACTCTCCCTCTGCTACTACTAAACACTGCTGTCCTCAGCAGTTGAATCTCCAGTCATAGGAAAGTTTGTTCACAGTGCTCCTTGCTGCTATATTTTCTCAATAAATTTTGCTTCAATATAGTTAATTTCCCAGCTTAAAAGGTTTCTTTTCTCCTGCCCCTACCCAAGGGTAGCATGATACTAATTAGAAATATTTTTTGGATAAGGGTAGGATTTTAAATTTTGACATATGTAAAAATTTTTTTTTTTTTGGTACCGGAGATCGAACTCGGGTCCTTGCACTTGCGTAGCAGACGGAGAAACCACTGAGCTAAATCCTCAGCCCATATGTAAAAATTTTACATTTAAATTTTGGTAGGTTCTGATATCAACTAAAGTAACAGCCATAAAAGTAATTTTGAAACATTGCCCCCCTCATAGGGATAATGTAAAAAAATTTATTTATATCTATACATTCATATATAAAGAACATGCTCTCTATTATTTATCTACCAATATTTATATATGTATATATGTGTACATATGTAGAGTATATATATGTTAAGTAACATGTTATTAAAATTATATTTTATTTAAAACATATTAAAGATAACAGCCTTTATATCAATTGTTCCTATTTTTTCCAGTACCAGGGATCAAACTCAGGACCTTGCACTTGCAAGGCAGGTATGGTGTCACTGAGCTAAATCCCTGGCCTCTGTGATAACAGCCTTTACAAACAGGATTGTCAAGAGAATTAAATAATGGATATAAAGTGTTCTTCACAGTGCCTGTAAGTTAGGCAGTTTCTAAGTATTTGTAAGACATCTCCCATGTTTACCTCTTGGTGTAAACTTAAAGCCAGAGTGTTCTGAGCAGAGAAGAAAGGATGTCAGAGAGCGACGAATGTGAAGCTATGGCACTGAGAGAGTGTGGCCTGTACATCAAATTCAATGGGTGGACTGGAGAGGACAAGATTGAGCGGAGCCAGGAAAACTATTAAAGGGACCAAAATAAGAGTTAAGGAATTCCTGGACTACAGCAATAGCAAAGGAGAGGTGGGGTTGCTAAGAGAGGTGTCTAGGATGTATAAATGATAGGAACTAGGGGCAGTTACATGGAGATGGAGAAGACATGACAGATATCCCAGGTGTGATGTGTTTACTGGGTGTATGTTAGTGGCGTTCAGCCACAGAGCCACCAACATGCTTTACAGGAAGGAGCTAAGGAATTTGGGTTCAAATATATTTAAGTTAACAGAGGATCTGGTTAATCCTTTTATGCCTAGTGTTCCTTTTTTTTTTTTTTTTGATACCAGGGACCGAACTCAGGACCTTGTGCTTATGGGCAGGCGGTGGAACCACTAAGCTAAATCCCCGGGCCCTAGTGTTCCATTTTTGGAATGTCATGAAACAACTTTCATAAAAATTCTTATCTTCAAATTCTCATTCTTTGAATTTTTCTAGGTAACACGCATGAATTTCATGCAAAAATTCAAAAAAATGCAACTTTTGGCACAAATGGGTTGAAAAATCACCTACATTATATAAGGTATGAGACAGAGAATTAAGAAGTCAAATTATTTTTAGAACACCTGATAAAAATATTAATGCAGTTAGGCTCTTATAGAATCACACTGACAATGACCAAGGGATATTACTTGAGAGCTACAGGTAATAGAACTTAGTAAATAACTTGGAAAAGGAATTCATATTGGAATTAAGTCAACTAGAAACATGTTTCCATCATTACCTCAGCTGCTTTCCCATTGTAAAGGCGAAAATGATTACAGGCCTTCAGATTGAGTGCAATGGTACTGTCAGGAATTTGCTGTAGATAAACAGCCAGAACTTCTTGAGACACATCATAGTAATCCAGCTTGTAGTAGCAGAGGGCCACATAGACATTGAGGGCAAGGTATTCCCTATTAGGGGAAAGAATTAAGGGTTAAAAGTTTAACACAGCTTCATAGAAATGTCCAGCTCAGGGCCAGGGATTTAGCTCAGTGGTTCCGCTGCCTGCCTCGCAAGTGCAAGGTTCCAAGTTCAATCCCTGGTATCAAAAAAAAAAAAAAAGAAAGAAAGAAAGAAATGTCCAGCTCAAATGGACAAGGCAAAGAAGAAAGGTTAAGAATTTATCTTGTGAGCCAGGTGTGGTGGCGCACGCCTGTAATCCCAGCACTTGGGAAACTGGAGCAGAAAGACACTGTGAGTTTGAGGCCAGCCTGGACTGCATAGCAATGTAACTATATCACTGAGGTTGATATACCTAGACCACACATTTTCTACAGGGGCAACAGTACCCTTGCAGGGCCAAAACCTGATTTCTATGGGATGGTAAGAAAATCACATTCATTTTATGTGTAAATCACAGATATACATATAGTGCACAAACATATAGACAATATATTATATATTTATAGATAGATATGCAGGCAACTGAGAGACAAAAATACTAAATAGGCTCATTAGAGTGATAATAAAAAAGGTAAAAAGGCCTTAGCTAAATAATATCTAGGAATTCTTAACCCCATTAGATTATCTACTAAGTAGATCTGTTTGGTTTTTTGTGTTTTTTTTGGTACCAGGGATCGAACTCGGGTCCTTTCTACTAAGTAGATCTGAATGCATGGTACTAGACCCAAAGGAAATTAGGTCCTCAGTCAAACTAGTTACAAAAGAAACTAACAATATGAAAAAGATTTTGATAGGCATAAAAAAAAAACAGACCTGTTATCCAGCAGTATTCGCTTATATATATCAATTGCCTCTTGGTAATGAGACCGCATATAGTGGATTGAAGCCAAACTGAGCTGGTCTTCAGTGATATCCTGAAGATTTTGATGAAAGTTCATCAATTTCTTCTCATCATTAAACTAAACATGTGAGACAAGAAATGTAAAGATTCACTTTGGTGTAGAGTTAGAAAAATCAACATCAATGACATATAGATTTTAGCTTCTCCTACTAAGAATTTGTGTGAAGGCATTAGAGAGCTACCAAGGTAGACAAGACTTGAGGTACCAAGATTCCAAAGAGAACTAAAAGGAACATTGAGAGGTCCAGTGATTAATATTAGCTATTAACTAATGTGGTAGACAAATTAGATGCAAATGGATATATTGCAGTTCAAAGTATAGCTTGGAAAGGTTTTTATTGAGGCTAGCCTTTTTTTTTATCCGCCTGCACTCTGGTTAACTTATAATAAACATCAGGAAAATAGGATTGGGCGTGGTGGCACATGCCTGTAATCCCTGCACTCTGGGAGGCTGGGGGTAGGATGATTGCAAATTCAAGCCCAGCCAGGGCAACTCTGTAACTTAGTGATATCCTGTCTCAAAACAAAAACTTTTTAAAAGACTGGGGATATGTATCAGTGGGAAGGCCCTAGGTTCAACTGCAGCACTGCAAAAAAAAAAAGGGCAGGGGGAGAGAAAGTTTCAAATGTTACTATTTCTCTAGGAATAAAATTTGAAACCAATCCAAATGACCAACAATAGGAAAATGACTAGGTGAATTATGGAACATTTATTAGATAAAACACTGTGAAGGCATTAAATTGCAAGGCAGAGAAGTGAGGTCTGAAATTCAAATTTTTTTTTCTTTGTTTTTTTTTTTAGGGGGGGTTTTCTTGGTACTGGGGCTCGAACTCGGGTCCTTCTGCTTGCAAGGCAAGCAGTGTAACCACTGAGCTAAATCCCTGGCCCCTGAAATTCAAATGTTATACATAGCACAGGACTAGGATAAAAATGGAGAAAATCTGTGCCATCTAAAGATGGCATCTGTTACTTAGCTTCAGTCAATTCACTGCATGTAGGAATATGAATTCGGAGTTTTCAAATCTTGTAGTTTTTAAGAAAAGACAAACAGCCGGAGATTTAGCTCAGTGGTTCTGTTGCCTGCCTCGCAACCAGAAGGACCTGAGTTCGATCCCGGTACCAAAAAAAAACAAGAAAAGACAAACATCAGGCTGGGAATTTAGCTCAGTGGTACTGCACCTGCCTCTCAAGCGCAAGGTTCTGAGTTCGATCCCCAGTATGGGGGAAAAAAAAGACAAACATCAAAGTCTTTGACATACTCTATTTTTAATTATAAGAAATATTCAAACACTATTTAAAAAACTTACCTGTGTCCATTTTCAGCCCATGAACTATAACGTTTGATATGCTCTCTCTCTCTTTTTTTTTTTGTGGTACCGGAGATTGAACTCAGGACCTTGGACTTGCAAGGCAGGCACAGTGCCACTGAGCTAAATCCCCAGCCCTGTTTGATATGCCATTAAGTGAAAAACCTGGCTATAAAACAGCATATATATCATGATGCATATTTGCTAATACAAGGATTCAAACAATTTTTTTTTCCAGTACTGGGGATTGAACTCAGGACCTTGTGCTTGCTAGGCAGGTATGGTGCCACTGAGCTATATCTTTGGCCCCATTTTTTTTTTCATATTTTTAAAAGATAAAAATTTTTTAAAGATTGGAAGAAAAGGCTGGAGATTTAGCTCAGTGGTGCTGCTGCCTGCCTAGCAAGCACAAGGTCCTGAGTTCAATCCCTGATACAAAACAAAAAAAAGATTAGAAGAAAAGAGAAAAAATATGAACTGGGGATTTAGCTCAGTGGTGCCGCCACCTGCCTCACAAGCACAAGGTTCTGAGTTCAATCTCCACTACCAAAAAAAGAAAAAAGTGAAAAAATATTACAGTGCTGTCTCTTAAGTGGCAGACTTATAGGAAATCTTACTTATGTGTGTGATTTTTTTACTATATTCTAAAAGCACTATAATAAACATACAGTATTTTCATAATCAGAAGAAAATCACAATAAAATATATTTCTTAAAATTGAATCAAAGACTTCCACTTCTAATAATAGTAGGGGTAATTTCACATACAATGCTCTCACACAGAACAACTAGAATATCTTGGAAACTATTACAAATTTGTGTAAAGGCATCAGAGAGCTACTGAGGCAGTGAAGACTTGAAGTAGTAAGATTCCAAAAAGAACTAAAAGGAGGATTGAGGAGGCTGATGCTCAGCTCCATTTTTTCTCAATGCATCTGTCAACTCTTAACTGGTGACTAAGATGGTGAAAGCTAAGTACAGATTGAGAAGTCATAAGAGCTGAATGGCAAAAATTTGAAGCCAGAGCCCACCAAGTTTATCAGTAAGGACCCCTGGAAAGCTACCATAGCAACAGAAGTAAAAGTGGAAATACAACATCCCTTGGGATAACTGAAAATCACCTTTAAATAAGTCAAATCTTTGAAAGAAACTGATTGATTTGCCCCACCCTTTGTGCCAGAGAGAAGCAAAAATCAGTCCTCTCTGGAAGAGGATAGAATTATCTAGAGCTTCAAATTATCTCTATATGCAATAGCTAGCTTTCAATGCAATATTACTAAGCATACCAGAATTAAGACCATTTGTCCAAAAAACAAAAATCAGCTGTCAGGAGTTAAGAGTTGTTAGAATTATTAAATATGAACTTTAAAAAAAAATTTTTTTAAATGAACTTTAAAATAACATCACTATGTTTAAACAATTAAATTAAAAATCAGAGAACTTAAGGAATTAGAAATGTTAAATATAAATATAAATCCTAGAAATGAAGAATACAATAACTGAAATTGAAAGCTAAGTAAACAGATTTAATAGATAAATAGACATGGCCGAGGAAAGATTAGTAAAGTGAAAGACATTTTTGCAGGAAATATACAGAAAATGTGGAAAAGTATTCATATATTATAACACAATGAAAAGGTCTACAAATTTATATATATTATGAGGGCCCTAGAGGGAAAGAAAAGAGAATATGATGAAGGATAATTTGGAGAGATAATTACCAAAGATTTTTCCAAATCAGAAGAGGAGGAGGAAAAAAGAGAAGCGGCGAGGAGGGGGAGAAAGACCTCAACCAAGCACTGTGAAACTGATGTGGTATAAATAAAAAGAACATCTAGAAACATCCTACTAAAAGTGTAAAACCCCAAAACAATGCATATCAGAAAACTACCATCTTCAATGGAGCAACAATCAGACTGAGAGCTGACTTCTCAGTAGAGACAATGGGACCTAGGAAGCAATAAAGCAACATCTTCCAAATACTAAAGGAAAATGACCACCTACATAGAATGCTATGCTATACACAGAAAAAATTATTTTTAAAAGATGGTGAAATTAAAACATATTTACACAAAAACTGAGATAATTCATCACCATTAAGGGAAATAATGTAAGAAGTTCTTCAAACAGAAGGAGAATGAGTCCAAATCAGATGCAGTGGCACACACCTGTAATCTCTGCTACTCAGGAAGACAAGGTAGGAGGATCACAAATTTGAGGCCAGGCCAGGCAACTTGGAAATATTCAATCTCAAAATAAAATTTAGAAAAGGCTGTGGATGTAGCTCTATGGTACAGCAGTTGCCTAGCATGCATGAGGCCCATGAGGAAGGAGGGAGAGAAAGAGGGGAAGGGAGGAAAGGAGAAGGAGGGAGGGAGAGAGGGAAAATGAATATGATTCTCGATAGGTACAAAAGTATGCAGAAAGAAATGAAAAGCAATAGAGAGGATAAATATGGTTAAGTATAAATGAAATCTGATGGCAAAAAACAACAATAACAGTATTTTGTGAGATCAGAAATATGTAAGGCCGGGGATTTAGCCCAGTGGTTCCAGGGCCTGCCTTGCAAGCACAAGGTCCTGAGTTCAATTCCTGGTATAAAAAAAAAAGAAATAAAGAGAGACAAAGGATATTTCAGATTTATACAAAATATGAGTGTGAACAAATGAGTTAAAAACATCTGTGGCCTTAAATTGTCTGGAAACTGGCAAAAATACAGGGCTGGGGATTTAGCTCAGTGGTGCCACGCCTGCCTCACAAGTCCAAGGTCCTGAGTTCAATCCCTGGTACCAAACAAAACAAATATATAAAAGATACATGCTGCAGCAATTGCTAAAATAATATTAGTAGTTTGCACAACTAGCAAAACAGTGACGGGGAAATACGGAATTTTAAAAAATCAATCTAAGAAGAAAACAAGAAAGGAGAGAAAAGGGAATGTGAATTAGTTGGGGCAAGTAGAAAATAAATAGTAACCTGGCAGTTACTCAGCTGACCATATGAGTAAATACACTAAGTAAATGAATTAAATACAAACACTAGAATTTTTTTAAATAAAGATTTTAACAGGACTAAAAAACCTATAGAACTCATTTTTATACTGTTGTTAGGGGATATACTTTTAATGCAAGGACATAGAAAAGGAGAAATAAAAATATAAAAAGATATATACAAACACTATCCAAACAAGAGTTGGTATAGTACAGATAAGACAAAGAGGAATGTTTCTGGAGATAAATGAAGACATTTCATGATAATACATATTTTGATCTACTAGGAAGACCTAAAAATTCTAAATTAGTGTGTGCTTAATGATGGAACCTGAAAAATATGTAAAGTAAAAATTGAAAGAATTATAAAGACAGACAAAGGTATAATTACGGTGTAAAAATTTAAAATGTACTAAAAATAATTATTTTCTTTTTTTTTGGTACCAGGGATCGAACTTGGGTCCTTGTGCTTTTGAGGCAGGCAGCAGAACCAATGAGCTAAATCCCTGGCCCAAAAATAGTTATTTTCAAATACTGCCTGTGGGTGATTTGATAAACTTTCTGCGATACAACCTAGAAATAGTAATTAAAAGATTTAAAGTTATTCATACTCAATAACTCAGTAAGTCCATTTCCAGGGTGTTCAAAATGACATTTTTATAATTAAAATTAGAAATAATTTAACTAGTACATGCTAAATAAATTATGACACATATGATGCTTAAAATAGAATGCTATTAAGCCATATAAAAATCATGGTGTGGGGCCCGGGGATTTAGCTTAGCGGTTCCGCCACCTGCCTCGCAAGTGCAAGGTCACGAGTTTGATCCCTGGTACCAAAAAAAAAAAATCATGGTGTGAAACCTATTTAAGGACTCAGGAATGTGCTTATAGTATAAAGGCACACACAAAAAAAGCAGAGCACTGGGCCAGGGATTTAGCTCAGTGGTTCTGCCGCCTGCCTCATAAGCGCAAGGTCCCAAGTTTGATCCCTGGGACCAAAAAAAAAAAAAACAGCACAAAAAACACATCCAACATGAATCTCTTTCTGCAGAACAGAGAAACAAATAGATTCATATAAAAGTACCTTAAAAGAAGTTACACCAAAAGATTAAAGGGGTCATTTTTCCAATGTAGTTCATATAATTTCCTTTGCTTTTTCTTCTTTTGCTTAGTTATACAGGTTCTTTTTTTTTTTGGTACTGGGGATCGAACTCAGGACCTTGTGCTTGCAAGGCAGGCAGTGGAACCACTGAGCTAAATCCCCAGCCCAGCTTACTTATACTTTCTTTGTTTGACAAAATAAATGTGTATTACTCATAATTTGAAAACATATTATTTAAAAATCATTTGATGGTGACTACAATTATCTGGAAACTGTGTGTTTACTTCCGCCATTCAGAACAAGATGTCTCTGAGTCTGTTTCCAAAGAGGTAATAGGAAAGTTTACATACGCTAACCTTTTAAATGACTGCTACTCAACTAAGAACTAAAACTTAACATTTCTGAATAAATGAAGAGGGCAAAAAATATTGAAGGCAAGAGAATCCTATACTATAAAATTTGTCCATATTCTACTTGTCCTAGAAGTACCACTAACAGGAATTTCTACTTAATTATCTTTCACTGTTGTTGGTAACAAGAAGAAAAAACACCATACATATATATATATGGTTTTTTTTCTCCTTGAGACAGATTCTCACTATGTAGCCCAGGCTGGACTCAAACTCCCAGTGATCCTCCTGCCTCAGCCTCCTGAGTGCTGGGATTACAGGTGTATGCCACCACATCCAGCAAGAAAGATATTTTTAAAACAAAAGGGCTGGGGATTTAGCTCAGTGGCCTGCCTCTCAAGAACAAGGTCCTGAGTTCGATCCCCAGTGCCAACAAAACAAAACAAAAAATATGAAATGAAAACATAAATACCTTATGGGCCAAATGGAAGAGCAGGCGATTTTGGAGTCGACTTTTTGGAGCTGAAAAAAAGATCCAAACTGCTTATTAAAGAACTCAATAGTTCATGGCATTTAGTCCCTTGAAAGAATAAAATGAAATGCATATGAATCTCCCCAAATCCTTATCTACCTGACCCTGATGTGTGTCTGTTATAGTAAATACTGTTTGACTCTGGTCTCCACCTATAGTAACATCAAGAACTGAGGGCGGAGGATTTAGCTCAGTGGCACTGCACCTGCCTTGCAAGTGCAAGGTCCTGAGTTCGATCCTCAGTACCAAAACAAAAACAAAAACAAAAGAACCAAAAGGGAAATGTCCTAAGATTCTGCTCCTCCCCACTACTTGTTTTACCTGATTCTATTATGTCCTGCAGCACAACCTTCCACACAGGGAGCTACAATAACAGCCCCCTCTGAGCTGTTCTATACTGAAGCAAACACTACCGAAGACAACTACAGTCATCCCAGTAGGCACAGGAATCCACTCTCTTTCAGCTGTTCATCCTAGCACTCTTTCTCAATTTCTCTAAAATCTCCTTTTCCACAATTATGGTGCCATATTTTCCTAAATACTACCCCAGGCTTTACTCCATTGATCTTCGAGCCTAGCAATGTACCATACTTACACAGGCAGCCAAGCAAAAAGGTTAGCACTTTTCAAGTTCCAAATTTCCTTTGCACTCTTGGAAATTTTTCTGATAATGAACACCCAATTCTATACTGTATATGTTTTACAGAAAAAATTTATACTTCAATGCATAAAAAAAGAAAATGTATACATATGGGAATGGAGATAGCCACCTGATCGTTTTTAGGAATCTAACACTTTCAGGCATAGATAAGGTCTAGAAACATGAGACAAAGTAAAAACTCTAAAGGACCTTATGACCAAAATAAGAAAGACTACATTCGTATTCATGAAACAATTTCGGTACAAATCAAGAAAGGCTTCAAGTTCTATCTTTTCCAGAAGAGACACAGTACATATATTACATTATTAGGGAATGCATTTTTCCCTAATAAATTTCCTCACAAATATTCATTCCCTTGCCCACTTTCTCTGTAGTTCCTTGAATTTAATTTGATTCATATTCTAATTATCCTTAACCTTTTCTCTCATGTTTCCCCTTTTCCTTATTCTTATTTGTAAATTTGAGTATAATCCCCTGAAATGACTATCATAACAAATAAGAAAGCAGATGGGAAGGCATCTGGATTCTTTAGGCTGACATTACTAGGTTCCTATCTTGGAAACTGGAAAAGTAGCTATAAATCCACAGCCATGAGAGCTTGAACAGCTACACCTAACTACTGACAGCATGCACTTCCTACTATGATGAGGTCTAAGGAGGACATCTGCCCTTTTCTTTTTTCTCATCCTTCTGCTTTTAGGCTGTACCTTCTTGGGCAGGAGCACACTGAAAAGAGGATGGTGGGAGATGAACACTCCTTTAAACATAAAGTTGACAAAGTTCAATAGTTTTTGAAGAGTAAAGCTACTGGTTTTTTTAGCTTTTTAAGGTCAATTGGCTTTTTTCCTCAACAACAATAAAAAGGAATAAAAGGAGTTTTTAAATCTCCAAAATGACTTACTATAGTAAATGAAGATTATTAGATATAAAAAGAATGCATTTTAGCCAGGCATGATTATATATGTCTGTAGTTCCAGCAGTTTGGGAGGCTGAGACAAGGGAATCCCAAGTTCTAGCCCAGCCTGGGCAACTTAGTGACTTAGTAAGACTCTGTCTCAAAATTTTTTAAAAAGGAGCTGGGGATGTAGCTTAGTGTGAAGGTCCTGGGTTCAGTCCCCAGTACCTGAAAAGAAAACTACGACATCAACAACAAGAACAAGGAGTCCATTTTACCTTTAAATCCCGCTGCTTCCGCCTGTTGATACATCCCAAGAAAAAAGTAGGTGCAGGCTAGGTTCACCCAGACTTCAGGATTGCAATTTTCCTCTTTCGTTGCATTTTCATATTCCTGAAATAGATAAACAGTAATCTCGTTTTACCAGTAAAGTAATTCTATAATTTTAGCATAAATGCTGCTGAAATAAGCACTAATTGTTCTATAATCCAAGAGGATTTCTTACTGAGAGAGGGGAACATCACATTTAGGAAATCCTACACATTCCTCAATCATTTTTTACCTGAAAAGGTTAAATACTGAAGCTAAAGCTCACTCCTAACCATGACAGGGTGCTGTCCATAAAATCTCACACAGCTTTTCCCCCATTTTAATCACTGATACAGACTAGAAAACTGTAGAAATGAAAAACAAAGGAAATATTTTATTTTTGCTAACTTAAAAAGGCATACACAAGATAAGAAATACATTAGTTACTTAAAGTCTGATAACTTTAATACACTCTACATTTCATCTCATTCTGATTGTTTCTTGGCCTTGGTGATTTGATTTACATTTTAAAAGCTATTTTTTTCCCTGCCAAGGAAAAAATGCCAAGGACATTTCTTAACCATACACTTTCTATCAGTCTTTCTCAGAAGCCCGTTTCTTTTCCTTACTACATGTGGGTTACTTTTTCTTTTTCTTTCTTTCTTTTTTTTTTTTTTTTGGTACCAGGGATTGAACTTGGGTCCTTGCCCTTGTGAACCAGGTGGAAGAACCACTGACCTAAATCCCTGGCCATGGGTTACGTTTTCTTCTGTCCTATACCTTTCACAAATACTCCCAGGCTTTATTCCTTCTTTTTCACATATTCCCTTTTTCTTCAACAATTCTGTTCTTTTTGTTCTTCATCTCATCTTTTCATTACCTGGCCTTGAACATTTTGTTTTTATCATGTGTGTTCTTTAAACTTCCTTAGATTATACATATCTTAAGAGTAAGAATCTGTGCGAAGGGTTTAAGCAATTTCATTTATAAATCGAAAATTGCTTGATGTAAGGCATATATCATTTTATTTAGATCAATAATCCTATGGATTAATCATTGCAGATGAGTAAGGTATACAATGACCAAGAAAATAATTTCCAAAGCTTCTACACTTACAAAAATAAGGATTATATAAAAATAAGGGCCAGGGATGTAGTTCAGTGGCACTATGCCTGTCTCGCAAGCGCAAGATCCTGAGTTCAATCTCCAGTACCAATAAATAAATAAATAAACAAACAAAGATAATATAATCTTTCCTGTATGTGAAAATAATCAAGTAAAATTCTTTTGAGAAGACTCTTGAATTTTTTTTTTTTTTTGGTACTGGGGAGTGAACTCAGGACCTTGCACTTACAAAGCAGGTGCTGGCACCATTGGGCTAAATCCCTGGCCCGAAAGGTTTTGTTTTTTTTTTTTTAAATCAAAATAGCTTATTCTTCCTCTCCTGAAGATTTCTTAAGCAATATTAATGTAGCTGGGGTAGAGCTAAGTGGTAGAACATTCATCTGGTGTGCACAGAGCCCTGGGTGCACAGAGCCCTGGGTGCAGTCCCATACTAATCCCATGCCACTGTGCTAATATAATTCAGGATTTATGTAAAAGTAAAAAAGTAAATAAGATACTTATGTTCATACACTGGAACATAAATATAGATACAGATATAGGTATAGAGGCATATATGGAAAATTTCTGAACCAATACATTAAAAAAAAACCCAGCAGGTTCCTCCATTAACAAAGAAATAGGCCCAGGGAAAGCAGATAGAGTGATTTTTTTTCTTTATTGTTTCTCCTGCATTGTTTGAATTTTACCATAAGTATCATTACAACACAAAGTTTAACAACATTTTAAGCACACTCCTGTTAGATTTTTTTAAAAACTAACCTCCAGAGCTCTCTTGTAGTCACCCAGGTGAAAAGCACAGTATCCAATCCATAAATTCGTATCCTCTTCTTGTTCCCCAACATGACGCTTGAACTTCAGGTTAAAAATTCATGAAAAAGAATCATGCAAAACTTTGAATAGCTTCTGTTTAAAAAAAATGCTATGTTAAATTACTGACGAATGATCACCAAGCTAAGTAATAGGACAACACAGTTTTATAATTAAGCCTACATAGAGAGATATGTATCTTCCAACTGTCTCAGAAATCTCTTCTGTCACAGAAATTTATATGTTTAAATATTTCACATTTGGTTTTTCATTTACTGACACTTACTCCAGGAAGTATTTGCATTATCTAACAATTCTTCTAGAGCAAAAAGAATTATGTGAAAATTTAAAGCCAAATAACTGAAAGTAAGAGAGTTTGAGCAATGAACTGGCTACACAGCCAGGATGTGTGGTGACAGAGACTAAAGTAACTCCTGCTTCCAAAGCCCATGTTTCATGCTTACTGATTCAACCCCACACTTCCACTCTTTCTTATGAGCACTCACACATACATTAATAGGCTGTAACCCTTCACTGAGAACAAACCATGAAATCATTCTCTCACCCTTGATCAGGCTAACTGGCCAGGCCTGCAAGAGCTAAGGATGTACAGAAGACTGGCTTCATTTATCCTTCATGAACAAAGAGTTATGAATTCATCAGCTAACAAAAGAAACGTCCTGTTTTAGAGAAAAAGACTGAAACTTTGAAAGAGAATTCTGAGTCACCATGGTAAGGTGACTTTTTTTACTCTCCAAAGTGATTAAGCCCCATTGATACTTTTATTGTCTGGGACTAGAATTTATTCTCCTCACCAAATACTATGAATTTGAGTATAAAGCCTGGAGTCTGAGGAAATTCTTGAAGTCTCCCTGAATTTACCCCATGAATTTCCTGGAGATACAAGAGAGCTCATCCTCACCACAAACCACAGTAGCTCTCCTTCCCAAGTAGCACAGAATTCCAACAAGCTGCCTAAGAATGCAGGCATAGAGCCGAGCCTCCCTGCCAACTCAGAGGCTATCTGTGATTACATTGTAAGAAAAATGTGGTCATTGCCTTAAAGAAAAGAGAGAAAAAGTAGACTGACAAAAAATAAGCATATTAAACAGCACTCAATCCTTCCAAGTCAACTCCCCTGCTGTGAAGATAAAATAGTTGACATCAACAGAGGTGGACAGTGTGCCCAATACGAGTGCCCTAGTAAGACACAGGGCAAAACATGAAACACAGAAATTTATGTAAAGCTAACTAAACTATTATTACTGATAAGATTCACAGTAATATGGCTGGCTGGAGTAGTGTTTTGGAGACATAACGCCAGCACAACACAACCAGACCATGCAGTCTAAACTCTTCAACCTTTGGGACACCCCTAACATGTGCTTCCCACAGAGCAGTTTCTCAAAGTACAGTCTCCCTGGACCAGTACATCAGAAGCACTTAGACCAGTGGTGGAGAAACTAAGACACATGTGTTGCAGTAAGGTATTTGTTATCACTGAAAGCTCTAAAAGGTTCACCATCACTGACTTAGATGACCTAAACTGCACATTCTTGAGGATCACCGCAGACCAAAAGAATCAGAATTCTAAGGCGGAAGCCCATGAATAAATATATCTCAGTAACTACCCTCGATATACTTCCAATACTTTTCAAAAGGTTAGAACTAGGGGTGTAGCTCAGTGCAGAGGGCTTGCCTAGCATGCACAAAGCACAGGGCTGGAGGATGGAGAGCTAATGCCATAGAGACTTGAAATATTTTTTGGTGATACAATATTTTAAAAATAAATATGATAGGGCCAGGGATTTAGCTCAGTGGTTCCACCACCTGCCTCCCAAGCGCAAGAGCCTGAGTTTGATCCCCCGTACCAAAACAAACAAACAAAAACCATGATAGACTTACTTAAATTTGTCCAAAATGTTATAACATAAGAATACATCATAAATTGGCCAAGAGGTAGGATAAGCAATATGTGAACTGATGCCATATTAAGTGTTGGTCCATATATTTAGGTTAGAGCCACCAAACCAGCTAGACATAATCAAATGTGGCCCTCCCCCGGACCACAAAAGTGTCCCTCAGGCAAAGGGGAAGGAAGTGGGAGGGCTAGGGGAAAGGATAGAAGGGAATGGGATTAATATGAGAAAATGGAAAAATAGGAACAAAATCTTTGTAAATAGGGAGGACTGGAGGGGTTGAAGGGAGGGCTGGGCAAGGGTGAAAAATAAGAACCAAGAGAGACTATGTAAAGGTGCAAATTTCCAATGATGAATGTCATTATATTGTATACTTAAAATGTACCAATGATTAGAATGAATAATTGATAAGGTCCAAAGGGGTAGGGGTAGTGGGAGGGGCAGGGGAAAGGAAAGAAGGGAAAAGAAAAACACTGAGAAATGGAAAAAATGGAAATAAAGTCTTTGTAAATAGGGAAGGGTGGAGGGGGTGAAGGGAGGGCTAGGAATGGGGAAAAAATAAGAACCAAGATGCATTATGTAAAGGTACAATTCCCAATGAGAAATGTAATTGTGTTGTATACCTAAAATGTACCAATAAAAGAATTTAATTTTAAAAAATAATAATAATCTTTCAAAACTCAAAAAAACCACAAAGTGTCCCTCACCTGAAAAAGATACATTTTTTTGTCCTTATTTTGTTGTTGGTACATTTTGTTTTTAGTTCAGCTTTAATAAGGTTTACACACACACACACACACACACAAATAAGGTTTACAGTTAACTTGGATCTAGAATCTGCAACTAACTAGATTTACTAGAGGCTTCTTATGATGCCCTAGAATGCACCCACCTATTCCAACAGTATAGCAACCAGCATTCACCCAAGCATTCATCTATGGTCTGGTATTCACCAGACTAAGAAGCAACCTTCTTTGGACATTACCTCCAAAAGAGTAAGAGCTCCAGTGAAATCTCTTTGTGAGAGTAGCTCCTCTAGTTTTGGAATCTTCCTACCTTTCTTCTTCCTTTTGTTAGTCTGTGGTGGTTCCCCACCTACAGCAGGTTTGGCCCTTGAAAGCATCTGTTAAAGAAACAACAAAGACAACTGTATGTTCCAATTCTGATGGTCAGTTTTTAGTCGAGATCAGGCACGTTCAGGGTGGTATGGCCGTAGATTGATGGTCAGTTTTTAAATGACATTGACAGCCCCACGATTTACAAGCCAAATCCTTAACAACCCCAGGGAAGTCGAGTCAAACTCTCTTTATTTAGTAACAGGTATTTTACTAAAAAGGCATCAATACTTGAGCTGAGCCAAAATAGCTACTTCCAACTTCTTTATCTATAGGAGATGCTCTGCTGTAACTTCTGTCGCCTCTTGGTATGCTCTCCATCTCACGTGCAGCTCAGGTGTGAGCAAATGAGAAGCAGGAGGGACGAAAGCATCAAGGTATTCATCTTTGCATCCCTCCCTGTCTCCCGTGGGAACACTGGAAGGAGAGGGAGATAACCCTGTTGATAAACCTAGACTTTACCCCAAAGCATGCTGGGAATCTCTAAACCCCAGTCCCGGGACCTACTCAAAGTTCTCCCTTACTACCAGAGCCACTAACCATCTTGGCGACGGTCCTGTGAGCCCCCTCTGCAGACAGCAAAGGCCGCTCCTGGGAGATTAGCTGTGCTCACGGAGCGCTCTGTTTCCAAGGCAACCCCGGCGGGAGGCTGGTCCGTCTAGGAGAGGAGCTCGCCCGAGAACCAGTGCACCGCGCTTCTTGGTTCCGAAACACTGCTGCCTTTGGGAAACTAGGCGTTCCTCTCTCAGGAGATCATTGTTCATTGTGCTGAGTGCGAAAGTTTGGTTGTGTTCCTGTTTATGAGTTTACTTTAGGAAACGATGAGTTGGAAGGGCGTTGTTTTTCATGAGCAAGTATCCTGGGAAAGTAATTTTCAAGGACCACTTCCGTTCTGCACTCCATAGCAACCCAGGGTGTGTCTGGCACCCGATCTCTTTGTCTGGCTAGTCTGGGAAGCGTGGAAAACAATTTCTGCTGAACCGAGAGAATTGACCTTTTGAGGCGGAAATGGCAGCAAAATAGTTTCTCACCTGTTCAGATACATCTACACACAATAAGGAACTCTAAGAAATATTTGGTGCTTGGATGGATTAATTTATCTTCTGCTTCAAAGGTAGTCTTTAAAAATGACTGAATCGGGGCTGGGGATTTAGCTCAGTGGTTCCCCCGCCTGCCTCGCAAGCGCAAGGACCTGAGTTCAATCCCCAGTACAAAAAAAAACCCCAAACAAACAAAACTGAATTATAAAATGTTGGCGCTAGGAGGGACGTTAGAGGACATCCAGTCAACCCCTCAGAACTACAGACTAAAGAACTAACATCTTACTAGTAACTAACAATTGGGGCAAAGTGGCGGATTACTTTACATGCCTGAATTACTTTACGTAGTTTCCAGAACTAGCCCTGTGGAGACTCAAGTATATTATTAGCCCACGGAAGGCAAGTATGATTTCTTAGATTCCTTTGTGTACTCCTCCCACTCCAGCCTCAGTCCTTCCTCTTGCCCCTCAATCTACTGGAGAGTGAATGATGGTTCTTAATTCATTGATGTATACACTTTTGTATACACAGATGTTGATATACAGAGACACATACAGAGACACAGACATAGACTTCAGAGCTGCACAAATTTACCAGTTCTGTAGTGATAATATTTTTTATTCCTAATTTCAGAAATATCCCTATTTTGGGAATATTTAAAACAAAATTAGTTATAACATCCTGCTGTGATGAAGAGTTATAACTAATTAGCACTTGAAATATTATAGAACATTTTCATTACCGCCAAGAAGGAACTTCACACCTATCCACAGTTACTCATAATTCTTCCCTCTCCTTGACCTTTGGCAACCACTAACCTCTTTTCTGTGTCTATGGATTTCCTATTCTGCATATTTTATATACATTAAATCATATAAGGAAGAACCATAGACTGTATGTCTAAATATTGACTTTGTTGTTTGTTTGTTTTGATACTGAGATTGAACTCGGGACCTTGCACTTGCAAGGCAGGTGGTGGAACCACTGAGCTAAATCCCCAACCCCTTATTGACTTTGCTTTTTGTTTTTTGGGTTTTTTTTGGTACCAGGGATTGAACTCAGATCCTTGCGCTTGTGAGGCAGGCGGCAGAACCACTGAGCTAAACAAACCCCAGCCCTTATTGACTTTGTTTTTGAGACAGGGTCTCACTATGTAGTTCAGGCTGGCCTTGAATTCCCTATTGTAACACAGGCTGGCCTTGAACTCATGGTGATCCTCCTGCTTCAGTACCCCCAAGTGCTGGGATTACAGGTGTGGATCACCATGCCCCGATAAATGTTGACATTTTAAAAATCAACCTAGCATATTATTAAAATGCCTTCCTTCTACCTTGACAAATATACTACCATGAAGCAGCTCAGGTTCCAATTTAGAATTCTCAGGCTTCTCAGAATTCTACTCACATGGCAGTTACAGAGAGATCTAGGCCCTGCCCACAAACCTCTTCTCATTTTAAGCCATAGCTCATACCCTGAGCATGTGCATGTGTGTGGACACCCAGACCACAAGTCCAAGCTTTTAGTCACCCCATTCTCCTGGCAGCTCTTACCCTCTCATGGCCCTAAAGGGATGCAGCCCCAAGGAAGAGAACAGCTCAGGTATAGTAACAGGCTTGAAGTCATATGGGCTTGGCCATCAGCATGGTTGAGGAGGGTGCAAGAACCCCTCAGCCTCTGCCTCATATCTAGTTCAGGGTACAGTCACAGTGCAGAGCCCAGAACAGGAGCCTCTTACCCCAGGGTTTAAAGACATTATTGCTGATAATATGATAAACCACTCTCCTGAATTTGCTAAATTGGTTGAAATGATCATTGACTTCCAGCTTTTGGGGGTGTTGCTTTAAATCTCTGAATCCTAATAAAGGACCTTTGAACTATAGCTGTAGTTATGAAGGAGAGGATAGAGCATTGCATGTGCTGAAGAAGTTATCTTTCCCAATTACAGCTTGAAGAATCACTCTGGTGGTGTAAAAAAGACAATAACAAGTTTGGTGTGGTGTCACATGCCTGTAAAAATATCAGCACTCTGGGAGGTTAAGGCAGAAGAATCACAAGTTCTAGTGTAGACTGGGCCATTTAGTGACTTAAGATTGTGTCTCAAAATTTAAAAAAAAAATTTTTTTAAATTTAAAAAATGTTAGGGATGCAGCTCAGTGCAAAGGCCTTGGTTTAATCCTCAGCACTGCCAGAAAAAGCAAAAAACAGAGGCACACAAATGTTCATGAATAAGAAACAAAGTTGTGGGCTGGGGATTGAGCTCAGTGGTTTTGCCACCTGCTGTGCAAGCGCAAGGACCCAAGTTCGATCACCGGTACAAAAAAAAAAAAGAAAAAAGAAAAAGAAACAATATCTATTTTTTTAGCAGTCCTGAAGATTGAACCCAGGGCGTTACTCATGCTAGGCTACATCCCAAGCCCATTTAAAAAGTTTTTATTTTGAGACAAGATTTTGTTAACTTACCCAGGCTGGATTCAAACTTGCAATCCTCCTGCTCTAGCCTCATGAGTAGTAGGGATTTACAAGTATGTGCCACCACATCAGGCCCCACTGACACTTTCATGCTTTTTAGAAAGTGACTTAACAAGTACTAAAGGAAAATATAGTAATGACTAAACTACTAAGTTGCAAACCTAGATGCCTGCAGGACATAATTGTTGAAGGTATGTGAAGAGTACATGTGCATTTATTATACCATTCTATTTTTGTATAGAAATTTTCCATAAAATAAAATTTAAAATAGAGAAATCCTGGGCCGAGAATTTAGCTCAGTGGTTCCGCCGCCTGCCTCGCCAGCGCACGGTCCCGAGTTTGATCCCCGGTACCAAAAAAATAAATTAAATTAAAGAAAGAAATCCATGTGAGAACTCCCAACCTTTTTATTGAAATTAGTTAATGACATGCAAGTCAATATTTATTTCAATATAAAAGACGGGGCGGTGCCGCTGTTACTCTGGGAGCCATGGGCTACTCTAGGGGCAGCCCCAGCGGTCCCCAGCTGGGGACCTGGGGCGCACTTCCTGCTGGCCTGAGGTTGGGGACCTGAAAAGGGCCGTTCCCTTCCCCAAGCACTAGAGTAAGAAGAGCCAGGTTTCGCTGGAGTTGAACTGTGGAGTTGGTGATAACAAATTTACTGCTCCTTCCAGAGCTGGGTAATTTCCCTCTACCCCTTGAAGATGATGGGGGAGACCTTGCTGTTTAGGGCTCCCCAAAAAGAGAGGCTTCAGTTTATCCCCGTTGAATAGGGAGAACTTACTTCACATTGCTTATATATGCATTCAAGTCCTGAATAGTGCAGCTTCAGGAAGTTTTTACACTTGTGAAGATGCTGTGAGGTGTTCTGTCTTAAGAGTATGAAGAGGAAAACTTCAGAATCTCACAACAGTCCAGAACAATTCACATTTGTTGGAGCAAAATATTAATTGGTCTCTTGCAATGACCGAATGAGAAAAAGATAAACACGATGTAAAAACTTACTTTGAGCATTAGGATAACTATATGACAAACTGGCTAAGAAAACATTTTTGTAGCAGTAGTTACATATCTCAATGTAGATTTTTAGGACTTAGAATGAAGAAAAGCATGGCTGAAAATTGCCCAAGTCACACAAAATACTGTACATTTTAGCAGTGAGCCACCTGTTTCATAGTTTAAAGCTCTTAATTGTGAAGACTTGAAAGTACCTCATTTTGGTATGTTATGTAATCCCAAAACAGTAGTCAAAGGAGAAAAAGCTACAAATGAATACAACACCACAGAAGATTGGAGTCTTATTGTGGACATATGTGACAAAGTTGAAAGCACTCCTAATGGAGCAGAAGATTGCCTTATAAGCCATAATGAAATGCGTAAATCATAAGGTTCCTCATGTTGCTTTTCAAGCATTAACTCTTCTTGGGGCTTGTATGGCTAACTGTGGAAAGATATTTCATTCAGAAGTATGTTCCCGTAATTTTACAACAGAAGTATGTGCTGTGATAAGGCTCATCCTAAAGTATGTGAAAAACTGAAATCTTCAATGGTGGGATGGTCAGAGGAATTTCAGAAGGACCCTCAATTTAGTCTAATATCTGCAACCATTAAATCAATGAAAGAAGAAGGAATTACTTTTCCTCCAGCAAGTTCTCAGACTGTCTCTGCTGCTGCCAAGAATGGAATAGCATTGAACAAAAACAAAGAAGACGAAGACATAGCTAAAGCTATCTAATTATCATTGCAAGAGCAGAAACAGCAATGCACAGAGATAAAATCTTTATATCCATCTGCAGGTATTCAGTTAAACAATAGGGTTGCACAAAAAGGGAGAACTTTATACGATTTTGAAGCCACTGGGGACAATGAACTCACCTTTAAACATGGTGAAATTATTATTGTTTTGGATGACAGTGATGCCAATTGGTGGAAAGGAGAAAATCACAGAGGAATAGGACTCTTCCCATCTAATTTTGTGACAACTAATTTAAACATAGAGTCTGAAGCAGCAGATGTGGACAAATTGAATGTAATTGATGATAATGTGGAGGAAATTAAGAAACCAGAACCTGAGCCTGTTTATATAGATGAGGATAAAATGGATAGAGCCCTGCAGGTGCTGCAGATTACAGATTCAGCTGATTCAAAACCAGATTCCCAAGAACTCTTGGATTTGGAAGATATCTGCCAACAGATGGGTCCAATGATAGATGAAAAACTTGAA